TTCAGAACAAAAGTATTTGCTTGGTTATCTTTGGCGTTGCGCTAGACATTAATTAGGTTTGCGTTTTTAAGGTATGTTTAGTTTGCCCACAGACGGTCGGCATTTGCATTCCACACGTGCAATTGCATGAAGGTAATGCAATGCAAGAGTGACTGTGCGCAAACCAATAATAAGGACAAATGGATCATATATTTTTTTTACAGGCATAATTTGACCTATAAATTGAAGGGCAAAATGAACCGAAATACAGAGCATGTAAATAAATGGTAAGGGGCAATAAGCCGAACATATTATATTATGAAACGGCCAATGATCGAAATTACCAATGATCGAAATTATGTACTAATAGACATTGCCATTTAGCGTAAATGACTTCCCAAAAGATCCCGAATTTCGTAAAACACAATGTGATTAACCCTAATTTCAATAATAGACATAGGGTCGTAACAACGTATTTGTTTGGATTTCGTTGTGTTTGCGCTATACATTAAATAAGTTTGCGTTTTAAAGCTATGTTTAGTTTGCGCACAGTCGATCTGCATTTGCATTTCACACATGCAATTGCATGACGGTGATGCAATGCAAGATTGATTGTGCGCAAACCCATAATAACCACAAATTGATCATATTTTTTTAACTATAAATCAAAGGGCGAAATCAACTGAAATACAAAGCATGTAAATAAATAGTAAGGGGCAATAAGCCGAACATATTCTATTACAAATTGACCAATTATCGAAATTACGTACTAATACACATTGCCATGTAGCACAAATGAGTTTCCAAAATATCCCGAATTTCGTAAAACACAATGTGATTAACCCTAATTTCAATAATAGACATAGGGTCGTAATAAAGTAGTTGTTTGGTTTTCGTTGTCTTGGCGCTATACATTAAATAAGTTTGCGTTTTTCAGCTATATTTAGTTTGCACACAGTTGTTCTGCATTTGCATTTCACACATGCAATTGCATGACAGTGATGCAATGCAAGAATGACTGTGCGCAAACCCATAATAACCAAAAATTGATCATTTTTTTTGGGTACAGGCATAAGTAGACCTATTTCTGTAACTATAAATTGAAGGGCGAAATCAACAGAAATACAGAGCATTCAAATAAATGCCAAGGATTGGGCTATAAGCCGAACATATTCTATTACAAATCGACCAATTATCGAAATTACATACTAATACACATTGTCATGTAGCACAAATGACTTTCCAAAATATCCTCAATTTCGTAAACCAAAATGTGATTAACTCTAATACAAAAATAATACACAGAGGGGCCTAATAAAATTCGGAACTGCCTTTTCTTTGTCTTTGCACTATCCATTAATTAGGTTAGCGTTTTGAAGCTAGCTTTAGTTTGCACACACCCGGTCAGCATTTGCATTGTAAACATGCAATTGCACGACGTTGATGCAATGCGAGAGTGACT